TTCAAGGAGTTGGATCAGCTGAACAGGTGCGAGCTGCTGCATGTCACGGCAGCGCGAAGTAGGCTTGTGTGATGGGCCTCCACCACTCGTTGGGTTATAGTGACTGCAGCAGCAATTTCTACAGTTCACGTAACTGGGCGCTGGCAATCTAACTTGGAAGTAACTGAAGTGGTAAACCAAATGGAAGTGCTGCTGTTGTGGTGTGCTTACTTCAGTCACCATCTGTGACAGGCATATTATCTGATACATCCGCCGCTACCTACTTCAGGTGGCTCGACGTTTTGTATCCAGGGGTTCCTGACAGCATCCTGGAGAAGCATCCGTTTTACCGCTACCCGGACTCTAAGCCGCCACCCAGCACCAGATGCTTTAGTGTATCCGTAGCAGTGACGGCTTCCCCACTACAGAGGAGCGCATACCCACTACTTTTTGAGTGCAGGAAAATAATGAAGAAGTCGTCGCTGTCCCTGGAGGACTTCGAAAACCTTCTTTTCCAGGCAGAACGCCTCTGTGGATATGCAATGGGGAAAATGTCACTAAGCTACCGAGCCAATCAAGCGATGTGCGCCAGAGAAACTCTCGGAGTGGTTTTTCTTGTCATCGATACTCTGTACTGTGCAGCAAAAATATTGGGGGACCGCTCGATGAAGGAGCTTTGGTGGCCTCGGATAATGCGTCGCATAGAAGGTGTAAAGTACATTCCCAGCGCAGTGGTACCGTCGCTTACCAAGTGCATTAGGAACTTAGACGTCGCACGCACGCTGTCTGCAGCGCTAGAATACTACAGAAGAGGCGAGCGGCCTCCGCCTCGCATGGTGATCGGCTTGAAGGAAGCGCTATTCTGTGAAAAGTGCCCTTCGTCGAAGTTCAATCAAGAAAAGTGGGACTTATGGAGGGAAGACGTGAGGAGCTGGCGCCGACACATACAGCTGATGTTGGCCGAAAGTAAATGAGCAACAAAAAGCTCGACAAGCTGATGTTGCTGAAGTGGTGAGTGACTATCGCAATGAACTCGGCTGCCTCAGTGCTCATTCTCGGATGACATATGAGAATCATGTCATGCGCCTGAGTTCGACTATTTGGGAGGCTCAGGCGGCTCATGATGTTGAACTGAAGGGTCAAACTGCAGCAGTTTCGTGCGTGGGTACTGCTGCCTGTCTAGGGCTGTGCTGCCCCGCTTCCGGCCAGACGCACGTCACTTCCAGTCATCTAGCTGTAACTGATTGCATCTCTAAAGTGAGAATACGCCAATAGTGAAGGAACGAGCAGGATCTGTAAATAGCGGCTTTACCAGAAGCTGATATTACACGAATTTCAACTCCCGCGGTTGGCTCCTGAAGGCCGTGACAACATCAAACATTTCTCCAGTGTTGGTGCATGCATCAATACGTGGGCCGGGACTTATGCTTGCATGTGTTGCTGCCATTATGCAGTAGTTGGAACAACGCGTTCCGCAACACATGACATTCCGCCCCGTCTCTGCACTGGCCCCAGCGTTGTGCGCGTGTATGGCGAGGACGCCTGCAGATTGGGGGGGAGGTCATCTGCTTTATGGCAACTCTTCTCGTAAGTAGATTTACTTCCCTGAAGCTCAGGAAAGTTTTTGGCTAAGACTGGCGACGGTCATTGCAGGTGCAGATGGAAACTGAGTGTGGCGACGGTCCTCAATCTTAGCTGAGGACGGTCGGGAGTTGGGATCTGCAGAAGAGCCAAAGGCCTGCCGGTAGGCATCTTGCGTACTGCGTTGCAAAGATTTTGGCTGGTGCGGAGAAGAGTAGGCTCCTCATGGGTTGTAAGGCGCTCTGCTGCAACTAGTGCTGCAAGGAAATTTCGGATGCCAGCCCAGCATAGCCTACGGCCGACGATTCTCGGATGATGCTGGGTGTAGCGGGGGCCCTCGATCTTAGCTGAGAACAGTCAGGAAGTGAGCCAAAGGAATAAAATACGACTTTCAAGAACGATATAACCTTTTTTGCGCCTCCACATATTCTACATCCAGAAGCATAAAGACGTATCCCGGTCCGGAGAGGGGTCGGCCCCTCTGCATCGCCAGTTACTGCAACTTGCTGTGCACGGCAGTATGCAGCGCAACAAATACGCTTTTTCTGCATTCTCTGACGCAGTAGGCAATTGTGGAACACTTATTTGGCGGTTAGTAGTCTGCCTTAACGCCAGTAGATTGACACGTACCGACTTCGGGCACGCCATGCCGGCAGTGCAAATCTTCTTGTGAGGCGGTCCCACATGCAGGCTTACTCAAACGCTTTGTTAAGAGCATAAACACAGTACAAAACGATTGAAAACTTCCTTCGCCATTAGTAGCCAGTCTGCACGTCACTATATGTGCAAGAACCAACTGTGACACCTCGCACAACCAGTGGCCGTCAGAAACGCCTGAGGTGCGTCCTTCTTTTAGTTCTTGTTATCCTTTTCAACATTTCTAAAGCGTTGCAAATTGTTTCCCTGAGCAGCGAATAAAAGGAATGTCCGACCGGTCGTGCGAGGCGCTGGCAAGTGTTTGGTTGCCAGCGCCTCGTGGGGAAGGCTTGTCAACACTCGCAACACCGAACAGCGCGATTTACCCCACTCTGTGGCTAATCGATTAATCGAAGGAGACACGGCTAAATACGCATTTGGTATAT